TGTAATCCTGTGAAAATAAATTCACTCAACTGTGAGCAATGAAACAATGAAATAAAAATTAATGTAAATTTTATTCTTAATGGCATTGATAAGAATACTGTGTGTTTTATGACTTCTACTGAGTAGCCAATGAGTGATCTTTATTCAAGTTGACATTGGGGTCCAGGTGATATTATTGCACTGCTATTTTGTGCTTCATGCATTTTAATATCGGAATTTTTAATAAGGCATTGTAAGAGGGGTGGAGGAGGAAGAAACGTTGACCTTATTATGATTTAACTGGTGATCTCTTAGTTTCCATCGTGGCTATGGACAGAAATATATATTTAAAAGAACGCACTGTAGCAAGTAAGAAGTTCAGCTGGTAGACTTTTTGATATAGTTAAATCGCCGAGAAATGGACAAAGACTTACCTGTCGACAGAGTAATTTTTCTTCACTGACATCTTTAATGTACTGAATAATATCTAATGTTATGAGACCATCTGGAAATAATCGAAGGGTAGACTCTCTGTGATTAAAGAAAACAGTAAAAGTAAGAGACTTCTATGCAATTTTAATGGTAGGGTAAATGTATAGAAATAATCACTCACACGCCATTTACACCAGTAAACAGTGTGACAGAAGAAGTACTAAAGCAACTATTGGCTTGGAAGGTAGCTTTGACAATTTCACTGATTTTGTCCTGTGCTGGTTTCATCCATTTTCCAGAGGCATCTGGTGTGACACGGAAATCTAAGAATGATTGTTTCACTGACATGATAGAGCTTAATGCTACAACAGTTACTGCAATACAACAAAACTGGTGATTAGATAAAAGAATACAAGGAATAATGATTTTAAAACACACACACACACAAAAACAATAAGGCTACACAAGGCTTAAACTTTATCTTTGGATAAACATGGGTGGATCCAAAAAATTAATTATTTTTTAATTGGATTGAATGGGACATTTGCCGATACTTTTATTTTACTGAGAAGTTTTTTAAAAACAATACCAAATGCAATGCATCAAGGAAAAAGCGGTGGCCGCAGTCCCCTCGGCCTCAACCCTAAATCCGCCCATGATAATTAAACCTAAAGGACGGTTTTCCAATTGCACCTACATGTATACCCAATAAAGAAGTTTTCAGTGATTTTGTTACAAATAGTTATGGGCCGGGTTGTTCAAACCTGGATTAAGATAACCCAGGGTAAGTGCAAAATTTGAATTCAGATTTGAAACTGCTCAAAAAGTAAATTCTGTTTAATTCTTTCTGTCAACAGGGTTAATGATTGGATGCTCTCAAAAATAACAGAGAAAATTATTCGAGAAAATGCTTTGAACAAACGAAAAAGAAACTGGGGGTTAAATTTAACCCTGGGTTAAGCACTAAGTAGGCCTTCAAACAACTCTTCTTGTAAAAAATCATGAGTCCCACTCCAGAACCAATGAGCCACAGTAAAAATTAAAGTCCGACAGACAGTTAATCTGAAAGACAGACGGCAAAACTCTACAGTATACTGAAATTATAGGAGCTGTGTCACGAAATTCAGCCAAATTAGGTATTACAAAATGCCCGTTAAATCCAAGAGGAACATAAAAATAACCGCTTAAAACATTAAAGGAAGGTTAAAGTAACACAAAAGATACAACAGATACCACGGATGGGCAAAACTGGAGAAGATTGAAACGGATTGAAATTAGGGTTTTTGAAAACTGTTCAGCCTTTTAGTAACAGTTTTTCAAACTTTATCTCTGCTGTTTGCAACTTCAAAAATAATGCCGAGGAGACATATTGGTGTGTCTCGAATCTCTGGCTTGGTCATTTACATGTAATTTCTTTGCTTACTTTAAGTTCCATAGCCGTTGAGGGCGAGTAATCTGCAAAATTAAACAAAATGACCTGGACTTCGTGACACAGCCCCTTTTAAATAATTTAGAGTCCTCCTATTATAAAGCACAACAAAGGCTAAAAGAAAGATATATATATATATATATATATATATATATATATATAACCAAAAAAGTGGAAGGAAATCCTCATCTACTATAAAGTGCTCAATAGCAGAGCTAGAGCTATAAATGATGATTGCTTCGCAAAAAGCATGAAACTCAGAGTTGCAGTAAATGTTCAAATAACCTAGCTCTTGGAGTATAATTATATATATATATATATATATGTGTGTGTGTGTGTGTGTGTGTGTATTTAATAGTCGTTTATTTATAATAACACAATTGTTACAGTTACAAAATTTTAAAACTAAAAGAAGGTATTGAACAATATTACACGTACAGATTGGACCAAATTACATAAAGACGAAAAAGAATAGTAGAACAGTTGTAATCATTCACAAAGGAATTTTTTATATATTTGAAACGAATTTTAAAATACTTTAAAAATTCATTTTTCAATAGCGTTTTAAATAGGTTAAAACACCTTTAAAAGCAGTCGAAAAATACATTAAAAATACTCTTTTCACCCTATTTAAAACCTATTTCACAATACAGGTTAAAAACAGTTTTCAAAAATAGCTTAAAAATACATTCAAAACAGTGTTGGATTTGGTAAGGGTAGCAACATTAGACCTGTTAATTAACAGAGTATTCCGGTAAGTTGGATTCTTACTAACAAATTGAAGGAGGGGGTTTTTCGAAATCATACCTCAACTGATTTTAGCCTTAAATTCATCCAAAGTTAAATCTTTAGGAGCTAACTTATTTATGTACATGTAATATTTGGCAAACAAAAGAGTAAAATCGAGCTTTTTGACAATATCCGATGAGCTTTGATTCTTTCTTTCACTATTAAGACCAAAGATAAATTCACTTGAGGATGGCGCAAAGGAGGTGTCATTTTCGACGTTGAACCATTTGATTACTTCTGAAAACATTTCATGTTAGCATTTATTACATGTTGATATTTAATATATAGTTTTAGCCAGGGCTAAAAGCGAAGCTCTCGATAATATTTAATGTTTGTTCAAACAAAATAAAAAATCGTGTAGTGCTAAGCGGCGAAGGCAACAAGAACGGTGAAAAAAACCGGCAGCACTAAAACATGGAATCTGGAATCCGGAAACGGAAACGGAAACGGCATACAGAATCAAATATCTATGATAGAAAATTAAAGAGTTTCGCATCGCATAATTTAGTATAATCCAAAGAGAATTTGTTCTAGTTTTCTTGGCAGTTCCCTTCATATATTCTTGTTATTGTATCTTGATAAGGTTTGCCGTGGTGTGGATTATTGCACCGCAAGGCCGATGAAAGTAATTCTACGAGTGATTTTTATTCACGAGTTTATGGGTTGAATAATACAGTAAATATTACCTTTGTAGCTAAATGTCAAGAATAGTAGTAATTCCCTCAGACCACACCACGTGATTGTCCCCAAACTGAATACTCAACACATGACGGACCCGTGACGTGACCACAGTTCCAGTGTTTTAGTAATAAGTTCAACTTTTTCGCCAAGCTGAATACTGACCACATACTTGTTGTACCGGTAATTGAATTTACGTTGACGTCCGTATTTTTGTTGAAAAGGCTTATTAAACATGGCGAATTATTTTGATGTAATCGGTTGCGGAATCAAGCAAATGCATGCACAATTCTCTCTTCTCTTTGGACTTCACAGTTCTCTTGAGTAAGTTGTCTTGATAAAAAGAACTGAACACTGTTAAAGACAACCCAGAAAAGACACTCAGGAAAAACTTGACGGCGACGCCTTTCAGTTATAATGGTATCAAGAGTCTTTTCAGCGGAATAGACTTCTCTAGTGATACAGCAGTCTCCTCTACTCAGCTAATTTATTCCTTTTTGTCTTTTTTTTTTATCTCTTTATTTATTTTATTGTCATTGCTAATATATATTTTTTCAAATCGATCGCTTGGCACCTTCTTTCACGAATTCCGTATTCCGTTTCCGTGATTCTGTGATTCCGTTTCCGTTTCCGGACTCCCGATTCCATGTTTTAGTGCTGCCGTATTGTTATATGTCTAATTAGCAAAACAGCAACTTTGCACGTGCATACTTTTATGTACATTTCTTTGCCGTTGTTTTGCACGACTACAACGTGAAGGAGATGTCGTACTTCCTCTCGTTCACTTTTTTTCACTGCCGCTTATTTTCACTTTGTATTGGTGGCCGCCAGCATTTCTCATGTTATCACCGCCGCTACAAAATTTTCATTTTGTTCTTCTAACTAACAAATGTCTCCTTTGTTTTTTTTTTTATCTCTCGCACTATATCTCTGTCGCCCTTTTTATCGTTAAGCTTCGCTGGCCTGCCGCCTACTTCCTCTTTTTCTCTGTCTTTCTCTTGCTCTATATTCCAAATCTGTGTGCATGACAATTAATCTAAGCTTAATGCTTTAGACAACAGGGATAGAGAAACAATTTCCGCTTTCTGTTTTCGTCTTTATTTACTCTTTAGTTGTGCAGCGGGTGCCTGTGCGATTTCCCGCCAAAATAACTTCGAGTTGCACTTGGGTTTTCCATACCTGTTGATTGAGTTATTTTACATTCGTATGCCTGTGGTGCGGACTGACGGTCGGAGCCGGTCGGTGTACGGTCACGTGATGATCAAATTTTGTGAGATGGGTTGATTTACTTACCCATGATCCTCCGCTATGAAAAAACAAACTCAAACCAATAGAAGGAGAAGCCGTTTCTTGAAATTTTTTATTCAAAATCCAAAAAGTTTATCCTTTTAAAGCAATTCGCGTAACACTATCCGGATCGTGGATCCGATCATGCAAGTAAAATCGACAAATCAATTCGCAAGTAAAATCGTCTAAGCAGATGGCAAAATTCAACACAAAATCCATCTCAAATCGGCCGGGGCGCATTTTGTAATTTTTCCTTAGCCCCGAAGAAAAAATGTATGAGACGTCTATGAAACATTTATAAACACATAAATTCCCTTTCACACACGTAATTTTCTTGGCCATAGAGTGCAAAATGTACCTGAAAATTCAGCAAAAAACTTCGCTGCCTTGGTCGCATTTGAAAACAGACCATGCGCTCCGCCGTGAAGAAAATAATGTTGAATTCCTCGAACGACGATTTCTTGAATAAAAGGTTCCCTTCCTCCACAAAAAGAAAACTGAGCATTCTTTTGAACTTTCCCTTTCAATGTTTTGTCTTTTAACGGTGTATTTTTAACCTTTAAATGGAGAACGCTGGTCTTAAAACCACTTCATGGTGATCGCTCGGCTGCCATTTTGCTGAAAATGGATATCCTTCAGTAAGGTATCCAAATATGGCAAAAGTGAATATTCACGAGCATCGAACGCGAGTTACACGTTTCAAACCCCTCAAGTGTTTGCGGTTATTAGAAACAGGCTTTAATTCCTATCATTCCTCGCAAAGCGAGGCTTGACTTCGTGCAGCCGAGATAAATGTTTGCGCGAGCAGCGTGGATAGGGCGTGAATCGTAGCCGCCTGCAAAATCAGGTGACCAATATGGATTTCCATGTATCACTTGGTATTTGCAATGACGTCATCAAGTAGACTTGATCCGTTTTTTACTTCGGCGGAGCGCGAAGGAAAAGGATTCGCGACGCTCAGGAAAGTTGACTTTTTTTGACAAGATTGGGGACGCAAAGTCTGTTGGTTTTCGGTTTTATTCGGCTATTTGACGAAGTAAGAGCCGAATTAGTCCGAGATATCTCGAGATCACGTCGATTTCTTTGATTTTTCTGAGGAAGAAAGAATTATTATCTTGGCTTTCCTGGGGTTTGAACCGACTCACTTGTGTGACCCGTCAGATCAGAGGAGACTTTAAGTTGAGGGATTAGCCGATTGCGGTACTGCGAACCAAGGAAGTTCGGAACGTGAAAAATAGTTATAACATGATGCACTAGTTTCGGGACAAGATTGGGCGTGCAAGTTCGTGACCTTTCGGCTTGTTGCGGCAATTTCACGAAATGAGACCGGACTACTTCGTGATATCTTGAGATCACTTCGGGTTTAGTCTTTAATTTACTCGAAGAATAATTAGGATATTACGTGGCCGCGCAGAGACACGAAATTTCTCTTCGAGTGTTGAAAAACATTTCAACAGTGAGCCCTCCTTTCGAACTGTTTTATGATGAATTTAAAGTTACAAAATGCTGCACAAAGACATTTTGTCTTTGTTGAGTGTTACGTAGTAAAATTGCTTTCATGCGTTGCGTGACTTTCTCGAACGTTCTCTACGTTTTTGGATTATTCATGAATAATTAATTAGGGCATTCTTTACATTTCGAGATAGCTTTAAAATCACTTTGATAGGGAGTCAACACGCGTAAACTACGTGCAATAATAAATTATTCAAATGCTGCAAATATCATCACAGTGCAGTCAAAAAACTCGTTGCTCGTTGTTTTTAAAGTTTGCAAGCTGCAGAAACGGGCTGATCAGTTCATGGAGTTTTTGAATTAAAGATTCTGGGTTATTACCTCGAGTTTTCTGCTCTTCCAGAGAATTTCTTCTTCCTCCTCTCATACTTGCCGAGCTTTGTTTGGGTGCTTACCACGGCCAGCCAAGCGAAGCCGTTTCGCTTTGTCCTCTAACACCTCTTTGGACGAACTAAATTCTCGGTCACGTACAATGGACAGGGTGCAGCCTTTGTTCCTTAAGTGTCTATCAATCGATGCCATCATTACTTTAAGGCTTTCTGGTTCATAATCTTCACCTTTTTTATTGTTTGTCTGCGGCGTAGAAATGCTCGAGCAAAGTGTTAAGCTCAACCGGCTCATAATTTTCTCTTTCATCAGTAATTTCCTTATCTACGCACCAATTCTTCGAAACAGAGAGCCAAAAACCAGTGCTTTTTGCAGTGCTTTCATTTTTAGAGCAGTTTTTCAACTCCTCTACAGTTGTTTCGGTCGCAAAAGCAAATGTGCTGCAAATGCCAACCATTGCGGTTTTAGCTCGAAACTGGTCCAGAGCGGATCCAAATTTTGCGCCATTTAGATGGCGTATTTGATTGGCTCTCAGTGAATTCCTTATTAGCCAATCAGAATGTCACGTTTGTTACTCTTTTCTGCACTCAATTACCTTTTTTCTGCACCGTGTTACCTAAAAACTGCATTTCTCTTAGCCAATCACAATCGAGAAATTTTTTCATGTATATTATTAGTCCCGAAATGCCAGTTTTGGGCAAGTAGGCCTCTTGGATATTTCTCTTTTCAGGATATCCTGACAAATCCCATATTTTCACAAATTAACACCTTACTCTTACCATATTTCATTCTTACTATTCCTCCACATTTACAATTAATCAGTTCCACAACCACGACGCCGAAGTGTACGCTCCGTAGCGTCTTGTTTATAATTGTTTTTGCGGCCTCTCGGCGATAAATTTTGACAGCAAAAGTATCTTCATCCGGAGGAGAACATTGAAGCAACTTAAACCAGTAGTTTCAAAATAAGAGCAAAAATCGAGATACAGAACCATGTAGAGTTACTTAATAGGACAATTGCTCGATGATGTCATTTTCTTACAACTACCAGAATCCTTAGGTTTGTTGTTTTCTTGTGCAAATTAGAGCTATTGTTCTTTAATCCTCAGCGGGATTGACAAATTTAACAGCAACTCCAAGCAAATATCGACCAAAGTACAGAAAGGCTCAAAAAATAAAAATCGCTCTTCTTTTGCATACTAATAGACTTTAGTAAGTACAAACGCCATGTAGTTTTCTCTCCGAAAGATCTGTTCGTTTACGAGAAAAACAAGAAAACCGTTTCAAGCCCCACCGTCGATTTTGCAAGCCGAAAACAGGGTTGAAATTCACTTTGATTCGCTCGACTTGCATTTCAAAACAATCGCGCTAGAAAAAAAGCTTGTTGCTAAAATTGTAAGCGTAACTCGTTGTTGACCAATATATATATGATATTTTTAGCATAACAACAGTCTGAGTAATTACAAAAAAGCTGAAGCGTATGTCTACCTGTTGTTCAACCACGGAAGGTAGTTGAAAAAAGCGACGATTTTCATCATGTACCTTCGATCAGAAATTTTCAAGATTGAAGGGGAAAACACTACGAGCACATTTCGTTTGTATTTTCGAGCGCTTTTCGGGACATTTTTTCTTAACGTTTTCTTAGAATAAGATTGTAATGGGCAAAAAGATCCTTTTGCCGTGTTTTTTTATGCTCATGCCCCCTGGGCATCCTATAATACTCCTTAAATGGAATTAATTCAATATGGCCGCCGTATCGGTAAAAAGGTCTATTAATCACATTTGCATAGGAATGTGCCAAGGTCTACTTCCGGTGATATACACGTGACGAGCTTCACCGACGTTCACCCGTTACTTCCAGTACACTGAAGAAGATTCATCTTTTATACTCCTCCTTCTTCAAAAATACTCCAGTTGACATTATTTTACCTGAGAATTATCTCTAATATTTTGACATTTTAGGCATTTGATTAACATCATCGAATTAAATTTAGTTTAATTTGATTCAACTGTTCATTCCCACTTGAAAAAGAAAAAGATCTTTGCATAAACACTGTTTTGTGGGTTCTTCTTCGATGAAGCTATGGAAGGTTTGTGCTTCTTCGAGTCATTAGTAGGTACTCTACGTTCGTTTGATAGAAGGAATAAGCAGAGATCAACTGAGATTGTTCCTTTGTCGCTGTCAAACTATAAAGAACGTAACTGGGCATAGGTCGACATGGTCTCTTTCTGAAAGCGAAACAGACTTTAGCTCAGAACTGACCAGCCAGACCATTCCCGTCGCACTGATAATTTCCCTATCAAACTCTTCAGCTAGATCAGTCAAATCCGAAATAGTATGCTCGAAAGAGAACGTTTTTCAGCAAACACTCTTGGAAAAATCCTATTTCACTTTCAAAATGACTGGTCGGGATATGGTCCAGCCTGCCAATTCTGACAAATGGAGAGCGCCCTAAGTTCCTTTAATATATGCCCTTTCCATCGCCGGTTCTGAGCTCGGTATTGGATGGCGACGGAACAGTTATTCCAATTCGTGCCAAGTTCCAAAGGAAATCACCAATCACATATAATTGAAAGAAGAGGGAAACCTGTTAAAGCCGACAAAGGAGTTAGAGGAAGAACATTTCAGAATATATCTATCAGCAAACCGCTCTCCTCATTCCTGTAGGTTTAGGTACTTTGGTTTATTCATTGTATTATATTCTAATAAGTCACTTAGATTCAATCCGCGAATACTGTATAAAGTTTACCATAGTTGTCAACTCTCTTAGATAACCCAGAGTCTCCCCGGTACGGCACCAATCCACCTAATCTGTCCGATAAAATAAACCTTTCAGTTTTTCTCTTAGTTTGAAATTAAACCCGATTTCCCGGGCCCAGAGTAAATAATTTTTTTAAAAAAATTTAAAGATCATAGTCCAGTTCTGAAGGCATTTGTTGTTGCCGTTTTCTTTACATTTACTTCAAACGACTGACTTGTACCTCATTCAAGACAACGTGTGGGGATATGGCGTAGGATAGAACTCAACGATTCCATATTCGTACAGCAAAACAAGTGGTCGATGCAGCTCTAGGGAGAGATTGCGCCAGAAGACGCTGAAAAACTCTGGGTATCCTTGGTTCAATCTCAAATTGTAGCTCAGCAGACCAATGACGAAGCCATTGACTTCAAGCTCAGTAGCAGATGCGCTTGCAGAATGTTACAAGAACTCAGGACACTGGGGATCTCGAAGAGAAACCTTATCTATTAGGGACGGACCATTAGAAAAGTTATGGGGGAGGGGGGGAATTTTTGAGCCGCAGGAATTTTTTTTCGTTATCAAATTCCTTGAATGAATTTTAGCATGAAAATGTTTTAGAGTTAATTGGCGTGCATGAATTTTTTTCATTTAATCTACCCTTGAGCGAATATTTTTTTTGTACTTCGCCCCCCCCGCCCCCCCACCCCCTTAGGTTTTTAATGGTCCGTCCCTTATGTCACTGAGACAAAATGGATTTGGAAACCTTGCAAAAAACTGGCTTCCTTGTCTCACTCGGTACAGGTTAAAGATCGCAAGGTATCATTGGATCCTTCATGGCTGAGGTTCTGTTGTCTCCGCTGTTTCTTCCAGAAGAATGTATTTTTTTTGTTTTGGAAATTGTGTTATTTCAAATGTACTAACCAAAAAGACGTAAATTATGTTTGTTTCAATTCACGAAAAGTGACATTTAGCACAGTAAAAATTATATTAATTTTGTCCTTTATTAAGAAGGCACTCTGAAACAACGCACGTACAGGCCACGATTACATACGTGCAGCCAACAACTGAAAGTTCTACTTATGAAGATTGGAAGAAAACATTTACACAATTTTTTGTTAAGACATCTTTTGATTTGATAATGCCGACGTCTCGTAGCAATGAAAATCTTCAGCGAGGCTACCAATTAAATTCTTCCTTTTCAAAAATTTTATATTATACGCATGTTTTACGTTTGCTTTTCGCCTGCTTTCAGCGGATCCTGACCCCGGGCCCCGGGATCTTGACAGCTGTAATCTGAGTCACAAAACGTTCGTAGGGCGCTTTATCCTTCAGATTGGCGCCTCCTTCTGCGGTGTCCAGCAGCATTTTGAGACAAAAGTTGTTGACAGATAAGGAAGAGAGAGTTTACTACGGGTTGAATGAACATAAGCGAACTTCGTTAGAAAGTATGCGTGTAGTCAAACAGAGTTTAATATTGAATGGCAAACTCGAACAGATGGCAACGGGAAACATTTTTCCGTAAAATTAGACCTGAAACAAAGAATAGGGTAAGTACTTTAACATTTAGAACTTTGTGCGTGAATATTACCAAGACTTTTTAGGAAAGATGTTTCATGACCTTTGCCTGGTCGACTGACGATGGTCACGCATATGTTAAAGATGGCGTTACTTTATGTTGTCAGTAAAACGATTTTAAAATAATTTCTGAGAAGCTCAAAATGATTTCCCAAAATAATTTTTACATAACATAAACGTTTGATGCCTGTAGTGTATTTCCCTTCAATCTGAAAAATTCTGATCAAAGGCACATGATGAAAATCGTCGCTGTTTTCAACGACCTTTCGTGGGTAAACACAGGTAGCCGTACGCTTTAGCTTTTTTATAATTACTCAGACTGTTGTAATGCTAAAAATAGTATATATTTTGATCAACGACGAGTTAAACTTAAAAGTTTAGCAACAAGTTTTTTTCCTAGCGCGGTTGTATTGGAACACGAGCCGGTCCAGCGAATCATGATGAATTTCAACCCTGTTTTTGGCTTGCGAAATCGACGGTGGGGCTTGAAACGGTTTTCTTCGTTTTTCTCGGAAACGAACTGATCTTTCGAAGAAAAAACTACATAGCGTTTGTATACTTACTAAAGTCTACCAGTCTGCAAAAGAAGAGCGATTTTGATTTTTTGAGCCTTGCCACGAATCGGCGATTTTAGTCGATTTTTGCATGGATTCGCTCTTAAATAAGAAAGCAAAAACGAGATGAATTCTGGTAGTTGTAGTCAAATGTCGTCATCGTGAAAATTGCCTGTTGACAGTGTTAGAATAATTAGTCTAAACATATTGGAAGAGCTCCAGTTTCGTTCAGGCCCATTTCAAACGTCGAATTTTACATGTGCCGAACTTAATTCAGTTACATGCGGCATTTGATTCAAACTTAGAATTTAACTCTGTTAACTCTGTCGAATTTAACTCTGTTCGCTGTCAATATTCCCAGTATATATAATAATAAATAAATTTACTAAAACTCATGTATTCAGTTCGGCACATGTGAAATGTAACGTTTGAATCAAAAGTCGAACCTAAGTCAGTCGAATCTTCGACTGTTTCAGTCGTGGATACTGCAAACGGCGCATTTAATTTAAACAGTCGAATTTCATTGATTCAAACGTCGCTCTTCACGTGCATTTAACTCTGGCGTTAAGTTCGGCACTTGTGAAATTCGACGTTTGAACCGGGTCTAAGTTAACTATGCTTCGCCTCCGCAGACAAGTTACTCCGACCCTGTACCTCAGGCATTTTACAACTTTAGCCACCCAGCTAAGGCCCAGTTCAAACGTCGAATTTCACATGTGCCGAATTTAATTGCTATTTTAGTCGACTAAAATAGTTAAATACGGCATTTGATTCAAACGTCGAATTTAACTCACTGAAATCTGTCGAATTTAACTCTCTTCGCTGTCAGTTTTCCCAGTAATATAATAATAATTTACTAAAATTCATTCATTAAGTTCGGCACATGTGAAATGCGACGTTTGAATCAAAAGTCGAACCTAAGTCGAATCTTTGACTGTTTCAGTCGCAGATACGGCAAACGTTGCATTTAATTTAAACAGTCGAATTTAATTGATTCAAACGTCGCACTTCACATGCATTTAACTCTCACGTTAAGTTCGGCACATGTGAAATTCGACGTTTGAACCGGGCCTAAGCGAAGTGTTCTCGGCCGAGTTTTACTCCCTTACCGTCCGTTAGTTCTGAAACGTTTTCCCACCGATTATCCGCCAATATATCTCGGGTAATGCCGCCCGTTAACGGAGAATCAACATCAAAGGAAACCCTGAAAGCCTGACATAACACACCAGAAGCAAGTAAAGTAAAGCAAAAACAGACGGTCAAAGGAAGGGGAAAGGCCCTCTTTGAATGTCAACGAAACGTAGTGAGCTACAATCCCGAGCACGGATTAAGAGAGGTTTCATTTAGTGTGATATGGTTAATCCAAGAAAAAAAACAGTGTAACATTTAACGATAATGATGCTTTTTGTACAGCTTAGATCAACTCAGTGTAACAAAATCACGTTGGATAGGAAAACGTTATGGTGATAAACTTGAATTGGGGGCAACAACGTATGGTATTTTTTACTTACCCGAAACAGGACCCCTCAGTACGTTGATCGAACTGATACGAAAGTAAACAGAATCTTCAATTTATTAACCCGTCTGGATAATTTATTCCGTCCATTTGAACCGAAAATGGAATATCATTACAGTCAAACCAGGTCAAGCGTTCTCGTCGCTAACAAACTAATGAATTCATTAATGGTAAAACGATTTCGTTTGTTTATAATCCATTCATAAAATGAATAATCCAACAGTCAAATTGTACCTCGATTCAATAATCAAATGTTGATTTGGTTTATGAACAAAATCTACCTGTTCTTTATTCTTGTCTGTTGGGTTCAATCGTATTTGCTTCCCTTTTCCTGCCGTTTACGATTGCGTTTTTCATTGCTTTTAATCAAAATAACAGCTAGAATAGACAGACCGCAAACTGGCAAAGAAAACTGACAAAGGCCGAGGATCGAAATCCACCAATCACCGCACATACACTGACCTCGGTTTGACTGTCGTGTTTTCTAAGAGGTCAGGCCTGGCCTAGGTCTGTTGCACTGATTACTGGCAGAAATTATGTAACAGTTTGTTTGGGTTTGAACTTCAGAACTCGCCTGCACTCCGACTCTCAGAAAAAAAGAGGAAAAAACAAAATTCTGAGGTCAACTTGTGGAAAGTGTAGTTTTTCAAAAAACAGTAATCGAATCAACATTCGATTATGGAATCGAGGCTTAATTGAATATTGGATCGTTCATTTTATAAATGGATTATTGAATCAACAAACGAAATCATTTTTCCGTAAATGAATTCATTAGTTCGTTAGCGACGGGAACGCTTGACCTGGTTTGACTGTAAGACATTTGATGACAATAGAAGTTAATATTTTATACTTCTATTATAAACCAAAAGAGGAAGGCATGACTGAGTTTTTCTTTGGCTCCCGTCAGGCGTTACGTTAATGGTGCAAATTCTTTTGTGGCTGGTTCAGTCGTAGCCTTCCCTGCAGATGTTTTTGTTTGGCTCCCGTCAGGCGTTACGTTAGTTGGTGCCAATACTTTCGTTGTTGGTTCAGTGGCCGAGTGGCTAGGCATCCGACTAGTAATCTGGAGACTGGGGTTCAATTTCCAGCGGAGTCACATGTTCACTCATTTCCTTAGTTGTGTTTATTTCTGTTCCCAATTAACGGTAAACGTGTTTGATAATTGGTCAGCTGGCTCTGGTAGCAATAGACCGTTTTACTGATACGGCGGCCGTATTGAATTAATTCGATTTAAGGAGTTTTATAGGATGCCCAGGGGGTATGAGCACATTTCGTTTGCATTTTGGAGCGCTTTTCGGGACATTTTGTTAAAGTTTTCTTAGAATAAGATTGTAATGGGAAAAAAGATCTTTGTGCCGTGTTTGGATGTAATAATACCGCCTTTTTTCCGAGAAATATACGGTGAAAGATTATATTTCTAATACTAAACTAGAAAAAGGCGATCATTTGGACATAATGACAGAAACGGTTCGGTTTAATTACATTCGCAGTTCTCGCAGTCAAGTACCACGAGAAATACAACCTTAGATAAAAGATTTCCCAGCCTGAATTTCAGACACCCTCTAGAGTCAAAGGGATGCACGAAATTCAGACTAAAAGATTTCTCTGGATAGCTTTTCACCGTTTTCCGTTGTCAATCGATAAAATCACTTGATCGCTAACGATTTTTATCGATTTCGTTTTTCATCTATTGGCTACTCCGGGAAGCAACTACTCGCGGAACGGAGGTTATTTTGAAAGGGCGGCAGATCTAAATCGTGAAAAACTGGGAAAAATGAAAAACCTGGCCAATATCGGCCATCCGAAGAAGACTTTAAAGCAGATTTTAAACAAAAGATAAGGTTTTTTTTAAAACTTTTAAAAAAAAAATGATAATAAATTGCTTGATCCTTCCACTCTCAAATGCAACTCAATTGTGAGTCAACAAATTCACTGTTTGCATGAAATAAGTTTTCATTTTTGGATGAACAGAAGAACATATGTATCTTCCGATAAAAATCGATGGGATCGGTAAAATCTAGGTAAATCGATAAACGAAACGAGTGTGTCATCGATTTCTACCGATTGATCGACACAATCGATATCGATCAAATCAGATTTACCGATTTTTAACGATTTATCGATTGATAAATCGATACCGATTTTTATCGATTGACTACTCCGGGACTATTTGCAAGACCGGGCTCTCCACTTAATTATCACAACCCACCACCCTCTATCCTCCAAGTCTGAATCCGCCACTGCCCTCAGTACATTTTTTAACTGTTCAAAATATTTGCATTTTTCACTTCACAAATACAAAGAAGTTATAACGTCATGATATAATTCTAAAATGATGGAAATCGACCCGATAGATAAATTTATAAAATTATCAAAATCTCTGTTTATACATTTACTGCTTCCATTATGTTCTACTGCCCAACATCAGCTCGTAGCATTATCATTACAATCTGTAACCTCTACAGCCTCTAGTTTAACTTTTATTATGTCAGTATATATAGTTATTATTTTTGATATTTAAGCCTGCAAAAGCATCTTAGTAATCCTTTGTTCCATAGTATAGCCGAGATATTTCGTGTTCATTTGAGGTCGTTTCAGACGAAAGTTTCGTCTTCCTGTTTTGACATCTGAGTGTCTATTTAAACGTGAGCATTCAAACAGACATTTGAAGAGAGTCTATAGGACTGCAATGGTTTGACAAAGCATTAAAAACAGGAAGACTTATTTTAAACTTTTGGTCTTATGTTCCTGCACAGCACAAAGGCTAGATTTAGTCACGAATTGTCTAAATTCTTCAATAAACGACGGATCAGTGACATGCAGTGCATATTTTTCCGCTTACCATTTTTTACGCGTGCTCAGAGCCTAGCAGATGTACTTTGAAAGTCAACACCTGGTTGCTAGTAGTTAAGAATAAATACGTTGTTTGTCTAGGCCTTTCAAAAAAATGATTACAAAAACGTATATGGACTTCACGTAGTTTTGGTCGCACTCTGTGATGTCGCACGAAAAACTTTTATTATTTAATTAAATGTGATTGTGCAGACTTTATATTTCCGGCCATTAAGTTAAGGCTAGCAACGATCAGTTATGAAAACTCGTCATGACCGTTGTTCTTGTTAATTGGTTCTAGGTAAGGTAAAATAATATCAAAAGATCGTTTAATAGCACAACACGTGAGTGAGTACCGCCCGGTTCTCCAAATCTGAGCCTGACCAAAATGCTATTTTCTACCCCCATTTTCAGACCTGGCCTCGGTCTCTAACATCCATATGACAAGACAGGTTTAGTAAACAGGTGTCTATACAGCGCGATAGTAAAATGACCGTTGCGCAGTCATTGTAACTGTTCTGCATAGAGGGAGATTTAGGTTGTCCTTTTTCCTCGTGTTGTAATAGTGTGCGTCTGATCGCTTACTGAGTTTACTACTCAACTACAACGGAGCGAGGCCATTAAAAATTTGTATAGTTAGGTAGTATCACGGACTAATAGCTGATCTTTGATGGAGGGCCACGCTAATTCCTGAAGAACAGGCGAGATGTGATTAAACTATTTAGTATCTCTTAATACGCGGGCAGCGAAGTTTTGCACTAATTGTAACTTCTGTAGATGTTGCTTAGAGGTGCCTGCCCAGACAGTGGAACAGTAAAAAAGTTTACTAAAAATAAGAGAATTCAAAATAGTTGACAAGACAGGTTTAGTAAACAGGTTTCCCACCCTACTAATCTGACATAACATGGACAGGAGAGACGATGTTAACGTGTTTACACATTAACACATTGTCCCATTATGGCTCTTGGTTTGCATCATGTGATTATTAAAAGTGAGGTATGAGTCCAGTGTAATGCCTAAGTCTTTAACTGAGGATACCGGAGTGAGTTCTTGGTTGAGGAAAGGTACTCTGATGTCTGATACCCTGCTTAGGAGCTGCCTTGTCCCGAAATAAATGAGTTTGGTTTTACTTGGATTTATCAGTAATTGGTGTGAGCAACCCCAGCCAGCAATGAGACGTAGGTCTTCCGTCATTTTTTCAAGGCAAGAATTCATGTTTTTAGCCGAAAAGGAGCAGTAGATCTTAGTATTGTCAACGTAGGAATCGGTACAGCTGGACTTAACTGCAGAGGGTAGGTCATTTATATATAAGTTGAACAACATGGGACCTAAGATAAAGCCTTGAGGCACGCCATGTGTTATCGTAAACTCATCAGATAGAGAATTGCCAAATCGAGCAGACCGCTTGCGGTCCGTGAGGTAACTCTCGAACCATTTAAGAGCCTGGCTTGATGTACCTAGGCTGCGTGTAGTTTGAGAAGTGTACGGTGGCAAATACTGTCGAAGGCCTTGCTGAGGTCTATAAGGACCATAGCCGTCAATTGCTGTTGGTCTATAGCCCTGAAGATGTGATCAGTAACCAGAAGGCTCAGCGCTTCGGTAGAATGGTTCTTACGGTTCCCGCTCTGATGTTGAGTGAGTTTGTCTTGCTTAGTCAGGAAGTTATTAAATTGAATCAAGGCAATCTTCTCAGCCACTTTAGAAAGGACATGAAGCAATGATATCGGCCGGTTTATATTGGGGACCTCATGATCACCGTCCTTTAGGTGGGGTACAATCACAGGCAAACGAGGAGTTGATTTATTAGTCTAGTTAAAGTCGGAAGTATGTAAGGGAGGCAGTCCTTGAT